GCGTCCGGCCCCGGGCCCCTGACAGGCGGACAGTCCGTGAGCTAACGGAGGGCGGTTGTTGTCACCAGAGTCTGGGGAACCGTAGAGTATCGGCTGCACATGCGTACAGGGCGAGTCCTGACGTATATGGGCGGGGCTCCTGCGCAGGCGAGCGTGCTTCACTGCGCGTGTCACAGTGACGTTGGCAGCCATGTCGACAAGTGAGGACTAAAAATAACAAGATTCCAAATTCAACAAAAAAAATGAAATATGAAACAAAAATATTCAAAATTTATCAAAAAATAAATAAATACAAAACTAAAAATAACACCAAAATATCAAAAAGTACACAAAATCTTAATGTACAAAAGAAAACCTCTCGGTCCCGCAGGTCTTTCCTCCCCACTGCTGTCAGACTCCACAACAAAGACTCCAACTGATCAAACACATCCACACATGTGCAATAACACTAAGTGCAAAACTCTTTCTGGCATCGTTGTATTACACTCAGTTGTATATAGCATTTGTATTCTATTTTATTCGATTGTATATAGTATTTTGTTTTTATTTTATTCTATTCTATTGTGTACAGTATCTCATAGATATTTTATTCCAGTGTTTTTTCTCTAATTTTTCTATGCAACTTTGCACTGTCCACTGCTGTAACAAAACTAATTTCCCACATGTGGGACTAATCTAGGATATCTAATCTTAAAAATCATTTTTAGATATGTGTGTATCAGGCATAAAACGAGCTAGCCCCTGCTGGACAAAGACTCACACAACCATCAGCTCTGTGGAAACAGAAATGTCGACCAACTGGAAGATGAATCAGGACCTCAGGATCATTTACAGCAATGACTGTTCTGACTTCCTGATACACACTAATATTTCCCACAGATCCAAAGATCTCTCTGTTTCACCTGCAACACTGAGCTGCACCCATAACCTGATGGAGAGATTATATATTATCTAACCCGGCAACACCTTGGTTTCTGGAATAGCTGTTTAACCTACTGCCACCATGATCTGACTGATGGCTGGATTTAGACAATAAATGGGGATATTTTAACCCTTTGGTGTCCACAGGCAGCTGTAAAGGAGTGGTGTGTTTTTAAAATAGCTTTGAGCTTAAGGCTGCTCTCACTGGAACAGTAAATGGTTCTTATATGGTGCTTTTCTAGTCTGAGCACTCAAAGCACTTTTCTGTGCTCTTTCTATCTGACGTTCACACACATTCATCGGAGAGTGACTTCAGGTCAGTATCTCGTCCAAGGATACCTGACATCTGATACCCACCCACCTTCCAGATTAGCAGGTGACCTGCTCCACCACCTGAGCCACCCCAGTGAAGCCAGAGGAGGACGGATCAGGGACTGTGCTGACCCCCAAAGAGCTGAGTGGAAATAAAGGCTCTCATGTTTCCTGAGAGGCTGCTGAAGATTTTAGGGAACTTTTAATGATTTATGTGTTTGAAAAAATAAAAAGTTTTCAACATGAACTGAAGATGGTCACTCTAAGTCTCTCTGTCATTGTGATAATAAGCAGCCTGCATATTTAAACAATGTTAACATCTCTGTGATGTCGCACCTCGTTCTTATAAGCGTTCTGGGCAGACTCAGAGCTTTCTCCAGTTTCCTGATTCTTTAGTTTTGTCACCTCCATGGTCGAAGGAGCTTGGAAAGAAAAGCGTCTGGACTTCTTTAAGTTACTTGAATACGTTTCACCTCTCAGCTGAGAAGCTTCTTCAGTTCTAAGGTCAAATGGTGGAGAGTCCCAGATTTAAACCCAGTGGGAGTTTCCCCCCACAGAGGGACAAAAGGACCCCCTGATGATCCTCTAATCGCCTGAGCCAAGGTGTGGAACTGGGTGTGGGTCCCAATCAGCCAGAGTTTCGGGTGAGCTCATTGTGAAACCTATCGTGTGATTTCCTGAGGTCAGATGGCCCAGGATGTGAGTGGGCGTTAAGGCGTCTGGGGAGGGAACTCAAAACTGGATTATAGATGGCAGAGAGTTGGTGTCATAAGCCCCGCCTCTTTCAAACCATCTGTCCTCTCTGTCCAAAATGTGAACATTGGCATCCTTGAAAGAGTGACCTTTGACCTTTAGATGCAGATGGACTGCTGAGTCTTGTCCCGTGGAGGTGGCTCTTCTGTGTTGTGCCATGCACTTGTGAAGTGGCTGTTTGGTCTCTCCGATGAATGGAGGTGAAACGTCTTCAAGCAACTTAAAGAAGTCCAGATGCGTTTCTTCCAATGACCTGGACGACTGAGAACCTTCACAAACGTCTCCCTCATGGTTTGAGCTCCTGTTTCTGGGTTTCAGTGGATCTTCTTCATGGTCACACGTCACCGTCTCCCTCTGAGTTGTGCTGAACTGCTTCATAGCATCTGATGGTGCTGGAAGAAACTTTATTGAAATGTTCTTCAGTGACAAACATTTAGACTCGCTCAGGCTGGGTCAGGTACCTTTTAGAAAATAAGAAACCTGCACACGTGAGAACATCAGCTCTTCCAACTACCCGGGTCACACGGTTCACGTTACAGGTGAATGACAGACTTTTCTGAGCAGCAGCACATGTGACTGTCTCCACCGGGTACCTTCTAACTCACCTGGTAACTGGATGAGTTGTGCTGCCCTGATGTGCTCAGTGAAGCCTGCGCCTCTTCATTATGTGATGTTATCAGAACCACAATAACACGCCTCACACACATTTAACAAATATTTAATTCTCAGATATAAATACATCCAACAAATGCTGACAGATCTTCCACAGGAGCAGCTACAGGTGACGAGTCCCATCATGTTTACACCATGTATTTACAGCTGTGTCCAGCAGGGGGCAGCAAAGGTTCCATGAGGGGACAGTGGAGCTATGATGGGGCATCAGGAGGAACATGGGGGCTTTCAGTGTGGATTCTACAGGTTAAAGGTCGATAGTGATGGTGTCACCGTTTCACTCTGCGTGTCGGCTTGAAATTAAATAAAGCTCTGACTTTGAGCCGCACACAAACATTTCATCCACCGTCATTCTCCCTCAGGAGCCTAAAGACCTCGATGGGTCCGCCCCCCTGAAACTCCTCCTCCTCGCTGATCATCAGAGCCCTCCTCCTGATGATGGAAGGAGGCTGTGGACATTCTCAGTTTGGTGTCTGCAGCTGGTGGATGAATGTTTGTAATTCCAGATGTTTTTGAAAGCTCAGAGCCTGAACTTCAAACGTCCGATTCTGCTCGCACAGGGGGGTCACGAGAAGGCATCGGGGCTTCCGATAGGCTGATGCAGTCTCAGAGGCTGATACCTGAAAAAGCTTAAACATAAATGGTGTCATACCCTGTTTACAGAGGAGTCGGTGTCAGAGGTTAAAGGTCAACTCCTTTGTTTGATAACAGGGCGGCAGCACTGATACCTGGATCATCTGGCGAGCAGCACCTGCTCGGCGTCGCAGAGTAAAGGGTTCAGTCTGTGGCTCAGCTCGCAGCTGAAAGCACATTTATATACACATCTGTGAGCGGCCGCCGCCATCCAAACCTGCAGCACGCCACCTGGTCACGTGGCGCTCTGCAGCTCAGACTCTGATCCATCAGGCGGGACTCACACCTGTCACGTTTTGAACTGGCTTGTGGATCCAAGCCGAGCAAGAACAATTAGCTTTGCTTGTCTGTAATTGGCTGTCGTCACTAAGAAGGCCACACCCATCAAATGCCTAAGCAACGTGTGAACCCCGCATGACTGGATAACACTCACCTGAGCTCAGAGCGCTCGCGTGCACCTGAAGCTCCGCCCAACTGACTGATCGGAGCGCAGCGCTCCGAAACATCCGCATGGGAAGGCTCCATGAAGATCACACCTGCAGCAGGTTTGGATCCCAGCGCACACCTGTGTGTGTGTGTGTGTGTGTTTCCTGTTATTGCTCCTGATGGGGACCCAGCTGCAGCAGCTTTGTGACCTGCCTCAGTTCAGGTGACCTTCACACCGATGAAGCTTCTGATTGGACGATGGCACGGCAGAAAGAAAACAGTGAGTCAGAGCTGACTGACAGACCTGGCCACCTGTCTGACTCTGGGCTTTACATGTTTGATGTCAGGTAAGTACAGACGACTCACCTGATTGACCAACAGCTAATTTATTTTATTAACTTGATCACTGATGGTACCTTTGGCCACACCACTGCAGAGATGGATCACAGGAACCGGGCGAGGCTCAGAGTGTACGCTGCGGTGACCTGAGCTGGGTCCAAATCAGGAGCACGAACAGGTGCGCAGCTCCGTCTGCAGTCCGAGGCCCCTCCCATTATGGAACCGGCCAAAAATACACCTTTTGTTGTCTGAGAATCGTCCTCTTCCTCGCCTCAGACGGAGGACTCGTGGGCGGTTTTGGACCGCAGTCCCCCGGCCCGGCTCAGGAAGGGGAAGGTGGTGCCGAGGCAGCCGGACGCTACAGTGAGACCCAGACTGGCCCAGGCGCAGCAGATGGACCAGCCGTAACCGTGATCCACGTCAGCCGGCAGGCCGTAGATGAAGGGCGGGTTTCTGGAGAGGTCGTAGGTCACGCTGGCTGCATACGTGCACAGGGAGATGGTGCAGAAGATCCCTGAGAACGAATCAGAGACCAGATCAGACTGACACCTGAACCTGTGCTGGCTGTAATTGGCTGAGACCTGCAGGTGCATCACCAACAGGTAAAATATGAACCCTCTGACACAACCTGGTCTGTAAGTGATGACGTATGAATCCTGCCTCCAGGTCCAAACTAGTCTGTGTTTACTAAGGCTGTTGTGTTTAACATGTTTTGTATCTTGTTCTATTTAACTTGAATAAACCCTAAAAACAGTCAGTGATCCTGCCGGCCTCTCTCTGTTTTTATCACCACTGTTCATTTTAAAGCACGGTAATAAAAACCTTCGATGTAACTACAGCCCATGCAGCAGTATATTAACCTCACATTGTGGATGGATTATCTCAGTTGTTCTCCTGACTGAAGTCTGGTCCGTTTACAGCAGTGGTCCCCGACCCCCAGGCCCGGTCCGTGAGCCGTTTGGTACTGGGGCGCGAGAGTTGAGGCTCGGGTGTGAAATTTATGGTTTTCAGGGTTTCTATCGTTAATTTGGTTTCCCTGGGTCTTTTCCCGTGTTGTAGTCGTGTGTCTTATTTTGAAAGAAATATGTACATGTTACCATAGCAACCAGAGAGAAAATATTACGCGTTTCGTGTTGAGCTGAAAAGGAAGACAGTTTGTCCCGGACTTCAGCTACAATGAAAAAGACACAAAGCTGGATTTATTCTGTCGTTACGCTGCAGCTGCCTCTTCTTCTCTCATTCTCTCCTGTTTCTACTTCAATCATGAAACTGAT